ACTGGCAATGTATTAACCCAGTTTATGATCTCCAGATTAAACAATGCTTTCCCAAAAAAATGAACAGGAAACTCTCTCAAAAGCCAGAGTGCCTAGGTTTTTGGGGTGTGCCATGTACTTTCTCATCTGCTTCTTTAGCTAGCCCTTAGCTTGCTAGTAGCATGCCACCCTGGTGTAAGTTGAATTGCTTTCACTTGCAGCACGTGCTACAAAATCAGTTGTTAAAGGAAGCCTTGTTGCATTATTAACTGCCACAGAAACAAGTAAGAGTGTATTCTTCTAGGACGGCACAAAGGACTAGAATAAATCAACTTATCTATTCTGCTAGCACTACAGTAGAAACTTATTAAAGCCTCAGACACAATCCAATTAATAGAAAAGGTGACAAATTTTAAATTCAGTTGTTCTTTAGAATATTTACCAATATAACTAATTGGCTAAGATGACATCGAAAGTCCTGTGAACTAAGTAAAATCTTCATACTTTTTAAAGAGAGAAAGATATTTTAAAAATAAGTACAAAAGCATACAAGCATCAAGCAGATGCTATTCAGGAGACCATAGAGATTGACAAAATTGAGGAAGAGATTCAATAGCACAACGGCAGAGTTGCGATGCAACAGCGGTATTACTAACGTCTACTCCTTCCTATAATGCTGGCTTTTACATATGCCAGCCTTATTTCTCACCTGCAACACCTAGGTCCATTGCAACTTGCAGTACTGCTCCACTGGATCCCACAGCCACATTTACACTGAGCATCATGGTCACCCTCAAGTAACTCATCCTGGCCACCATTTCCAAGCACGTGAAGGATAAGAAGGTGATCAGGAGTAGGTAGCATGGATTCACCAAGGGGAAATCATGCTTAACCAACCCGATAGCCTTCTCGGATGGAATGACTGGCTGAGTAGATGAGGGGAGAGCAGTGGATGTTGTCTACCTTGACTTCAGTAAGGCTTTTGACCTTTGCTAGTCCTGGAGCCAAGATCACCATGAGGCTCTTCAGACTCTAATGGGTATTCAAAGCAAAAAAACTCCCTAGTTCATGGGGAGATTTCATCCGACTGATCCTCCTTGCATCCTTCCAAAAGGAAGGAAATATAACAGATTAACACAAACCTGCAAAAGTGCCTGTACTTTTATTTAGTTGGTCAAGAAAAATAGGATTCTACATTCAGTCAGATGGTATGCTCATAATATGCATGTGATCATGTCTAACATTTGAGTGAAAGTGCAAGAAATCAGTAGCCAGAAATCGGCTGATTTTGTCAAGAATCAGAAAATGTAGTGGGGGAGAGGAGAGAGATAGCTGATCCCTGGCAATGCAGTTAGCAGAGCCAGAAAGTTGAAATAAATCTGTAATTACCATAAAAATTCAAAGCACTGTTGGTTGCTAACATCAATAATTTTCTTTCCATTTTAACTTCATAGTAAGATTGCTATTTCTGCTTGATTCTCCTATTATAAATGTACCAGCATCTAACGCCCCACACTTACATTCTCAGCTCCTGGACATAGCCCAGCTACAAGCATTCATATTTCTGAGATGGTCTTAAACCTGAAAGGTCATTTATCTTTAAAAAATAGGTAAAATCACAAAGATTTCTACCCACAGGCACATAGCCTAATGGTTTTATGTTAACTGTTAGCTGTTTTTACCTTCCATTCTACTCCTAACCCTTCCCTCTCAAAAAGTGTTGGTAAGGATACAGCTGCGTAAGGTGCACTTTTTAATCAGAATCTGTTTCTGCATATTTGATAAAATCATTTCCAATGCACCATAAACAGGTGCCATCCAAAATGTCTTAAGACCATCCACTCAATCCAAGCAGAAACCAAGGTGACAACTTTTCAAAGACCATGAGAGGTGCTATTTTTGTATGAGTGAATTGGATTCATAAACCTTAGCAAACTGCAAAAGGCATTAGATTTTGTCGAGTGCATCTGTTTTATTTTAGCATTTGATCTATGTTTTAGACCTAATGTTTTAAAAATGTTAAAGAATTGCAGTTAAAAGGAATTCTCATTTATTTTCTGTATGTAATTATTTATGCCAAATAAAAACAGCAGAGAAAGCACAGCAGATGGAATCTTTTTCCCCACATTCTTGCATAAACATTCAAGCTGAGAAACGGAATAAACAGCTGGAGAAATGCAACCTCCTCCTAATAAGATGTAACGCTTTAGACAATGCTCGTAAAGCTCCCCTTAAACTTCCTGCATAGCTCCCAGCAAAAAAAGCAGGAATCAGAGTTAAGGTGCTCCTTTCCCGAGTTCTGCTCTGGGCACTTTTCTTCATGCGTGGTGTTCAAGTGAATGAGAACCAATATGTCTTCCCTAGCATATAACACAGAAGGAAAGAGAGCAGCAGACCCCGCAGACCAAGCAAAGCTGTCAAAATTCTATGCAAATCTACTTATCTATATTGATTTATACAAAATTAAAACCCTTCACAGGCCTTACGAGGAACTGCATGGCTAAAAGCTTTAGAGTTCTCTGAACAATATACTTGCATCTAGCACTATGGACAGGGCAAGGCTGGCTAGATTATAGAGCTGCATTAAACTTTCACAATAAAGCCGGTTACTCAAGTTGCCCGATGTTTTCCTTTAGCAAAACAGTATTTCAGACTGTGATGAAGTTATATATGTCATTAAAGGAACAACCTTAGACAGGACATTATCAAGGAAAGGTTATTTTGACTAGTGACAACAGGTGACTGCTATCTTTCTATTGCAAAACTGTTGCTATCCACCTACATAGTCAAAGCTACAAGATCACTGGCATACAAAAACTAAGTTTATTTCTTACTGAATTACACTCCTCCTCTCCAAAAGGCCACTTCATAAAAATCACCTCTTTATACATGCATAAGCACCTATACACACACACACACACACACACAGACCAATAAGAACAATAGTTCCCTTAAAACATGTTTTTTAAAAACGTGCCTTCCCCCACCAACACTTAAAAACAAACAAAAACTCTTTCTACACCTAACAACTCTTCACTAGCTCTACAATATGCTGTAATACCACCGCATCTCTTACATAAGGTTTTAACTATGATGACAGCAGCATCAACACATGCATCCATCACGGATTTATGTACTGGTGAACTCTATCGTGATTCTTTTTTTCCATTATGTAGCTCTATACCATTTGAGGATCTCATTTACTAGGTATTTATTCCCAGCTCTGTTCGGCTCTGCTGGGCTAACGTGTTTGTCAGACAAAGAAATAATCAGGTCCCAAATATTCTGCTGTTCCACACACTGGCAAGGAGACAAGCCAGCATCCAGAACAATCCTCAAAGAAGAAAGTGAATATAGCATGTCAAGAAAAGACTGGGCAATCACAGATCCAAAAAGACTGGAAGACAACAGTTGCTCTCAGCAACAGTTAACCATATAAATAGTTTTCCGTTGCAGATAACACACTAGGCATAATTAAACTTTATGTTTAGTTGGTACAAGTTCCCTGACTTGCAATATTACAATTGCAGAGCCAGATTAGCCTAAATTCATCAGGCATCGTTTTTCTTCTCTTCACCTCACTCCCTCCCAAAGCAGGCTGCTAACCTGAACTTCCATAGAACCTCTTCATATATGGCTTGCAAAATACTTTTGCAAAAACCATGAAGACCCACTCTACAAAGGAGAGCAGAGATGTACAGTAGGGTGATCACTTCAAATACCAGTAAGACAAGGAGCCTTTGCATAACACCTGCAAGGAAGCATACCAGGAGAACCAAGTTGATGCCATTGACAGAGAGAAAATTTGCTCACAGGAAAATTCAGCTAACGGACACTTACAGTGACTGAGAGCACCCTTTGACTTCATACTCACAACTGACCGCAGCTCCTAGACACTAATGCAATACAATTGATAAGCAAAATGCCTCCTTTCAACCAGCTGGCAGAGACACCTACAAGCATTTATGCCCAGGCACAGCACATAGCACAAGATTGAACTGAGGGAGAGCGAAAAAGTCTCAAGTCCAAAGAGACCTTCCACTGCTGAGAAGAAGGTAAATACAAGAATATAACAGTACTAAAACTCAATCACAGCTGGGCTAAAGTTCAATAGTGCTATAGTCCCCACTGTGGTTCTGTTAAAACAAACGTTAAATGTAAGTACCTGAGAACTGGTAATTCACAACTGGCAAAGTGGATCTTACCCACTTCTTCAAGCCTCTAAAATGGAATAGTCATACCAATATGACAGAGAAACACTGGGGATGAGAATTACATACCTGCATTTAATTTCAGTTGTGCACTCCCAAAAAAATAGCTTTGGAGAGAAAAAAAAATACCCCTTTAATTGCTTGCTGAAAACTAAGAGTCCATTTCACTTCTATAAGGGCAGCAAGCAGCAAGTTTGCACTAATAGAGAGACAATATGTTATCAAGTGAGTACCCCACAGGAGAGGGTGTTCTTGCTATTTCTTCAATGCAACGAAACATGCTTGCAGACACAGTCATGTCCTCTCGCTGAAGTCTTATATAATCCAAGCATGTAGTGAAACAAAAATATTTGAAGCATTATTTTAACTTGTATCTTAGCTTATCATCTAAGGGCAAGTATCAAGTTGAAACATTAAATGGTTCATCCTCTAAAGCACTCCTAGATATGATATTAAGAACAACTGGCTGTCTCTACATGCACTCAGAATACATTTATATTAACATAAATAAACAAAACTGCCTGCCTGCCTCCTTCCCTCCTTCCTTCTTAAAAGAGCCTTCTTTTCTAATTAAGTTCAAGCTTCAAGTAAAACAATTTCTACCATACAACTGCCTACATAGAGAATAACCAGAATGAACGTATCTATCATTAAAAGAAAAAAGACATTTTTCAGCACGGCCAATCCACAGGTTAAATCAGGCACAGAAACAACTAACCGCTGGATGTACGTTTCCATTTACAAGGACCTTTTCTCGCATTTACAAGGGTCAAGTGCAATCACTGCAGGAGATTCCTCTGTGAACCTTACCTGCAATTTGATCCTTGCACGGCATGCTGTCTAAACATTGCGCTGTGCTATGATTTAATGCTGGATGTACGCTTCAGCAGCTACAAACGACAGACTATTTGCGGGCGTGTGGCTGCTACGCAGAGAGGGACAGAACCATCCAGTACAGCTCCCCACGGTTTGGGGGGTGAGGGGAGACGTTGCGTGGAGGTGGGGGGAAAGAGCTGTAAAGACCTCAATTAGAAATCTTTTCTTTTTTATTATTGATTTTTTTAAACAAACGCAAGGCTATGCACGCCTCCGTCAAATCAGTAAGAATCCCCCCCTCCCCCCCCAAAACCTGCCCATGTTGAGGTCAGCACAACGTTCCCTGCACAGGACTAACAGGAAAACCGCTCTGTCAGCCGCCGGCTCCCCCCTCTCCTC